GTCACCCGAGGTCTTCGTCCACCAGTAAAGCTGGAAAGTTGCCATATGACCTATACCGTGTTGGTGCGACGTGAAACCAAATAAAAATAAAGGATGAATAACGTTTAAAAGTGTCAAACTGTGAACAATTATATCGTTTATATAAATCAATGCCTTTTTTGTCTTATTTTGAGAAGATAAAACCTGATTCTTTATGTGAATGTGATCCTGATATAGATTACATAAATAAAAGCAGTTGAAGATTTTTTTCTCATTATATTTCATTTCATTTTAATTCATTTCATTTCAATTTTTTGCTTGGTTAAGTTGCAAAGAACAGACAGTCTTATCGATTTAAAAATAATATTATATGAAACAAAATGCAGTAAATATGAATGTAACCTGCAAACTCATTTTCAAAGATGTTTAAAGCCTAAAATATTAAAGCAATTTGAACAAAATTACTTTGTGTAAGTGTATTTGAAAATGAGCAAAGAGGAATTTTCATTGTTTTGTTTTTATACGTTTTAATACAATAACATAAAAGCAATATTTTATTGTTATTAACATATAGTTCAAGAATTTATGAAATGATTCAACATTTTCACTGCTTTTTTATTGAAATTAGCATATTCTTTCCTATTGAATAATTCAAAGAAAAATATATATCATTTTTAATACAACTGGCGACCATACTGAACGCAATCTTGGATACTGATCCGTTGCAAAATCGAAATTGTGTAAGTCTTTGAATTGTGTATAAGGGGAACTGTACAATTGCTTGGTAAAAGTTTCAGATATGGACAAATGTGTTGATAGCTGCCCTCATATTATAGACTAGTTGTATCAAATCGAGTATTTCTCATTGAATGTTTTTGGAACTAACAGCGCGTACCCAAACCCAAAAAAGTTTAATTTACTAGAAAACCATGCAGTTTCTAACATGTAGGTAATAATATACACATTAAATATACATTTCTCTGACGGAGTGACAATATGAATTTGTAGAAACCATGTCAGCCTTTAAAAAAATACAATAATGGATAATGGAAATTACATGTTCTTTAATCTTTTCGAATAAAAGTCGAAGTTAAATTCTGTTGGACTTGTAGCTATCTATGCAAAGTCAATGCGAAATTCGTTTAAATCAATTACTGACAGCATCGTGATAAATAACATGGCTCATTTTGTTTGCTTGGGGTTTATAAATGTCTGCAACTGATTAAAACATCTTTCAGGTCAACGAACACAAAAAAACCCAAAGCTTTAAATAAAACATTTCTCAATTCTAAAAAAATCCCCTTGTTACATGAATTTTATATAAATGAATGAAATAATGTTTGCAAAAATGTATAGTCTTTGAGTAAAAATAAATGAATCATTTACCAAACGAGACACTGAAAAATTCATAACTTATTTACTTATAAATTAATCGGTGTCAGTTAAACTTACAAAATGCAAATTGAAATTACTTAAAAATTGGTTTGGCCATTCGTTTTTTTGTTTGATAAATCTTTTAAAGAAGTCTTTGCGATTAAGAAACAACAACAAAACTTTATTTCCAACTGTTTGGCACCTCATAATCAGAGCACAATCATGGTCTTCCAATTCAAATATTACTCAGGATCTAAATAACAATTTTAAGCAGTATAAATAAAGCAATTTCTGAAACTTGTTGATAGTTCTATCCAGGTTTTGTTTCAGTTTTACATTTTATTCGTCCGCTATTAACCTAAAAGATTACAACACATAGACCGACTGAGGTTTAGCCATGCATTTAACATTTATGCATTACATTTTACAAATTCATGTTTATGTTTTTTTATTTGTAAGTTTTCAAACAAGCTTCGTTATTTGGAATGTATGACGCACTCTTAATAAATCCCACCACCACCCCTCAAAAAACAACATCAAACAAACAAACAAACAAACAAGAAACAACAAAACACCCCCGCCCCCTAAAAAACAAACAAGAACCAACAAAAAACCCAACAATAACAAACAACAACAAAAACAACAACAAGAACAACAACAAAAATAAATAAATAAAAAACACAAAACCGCTGATGAATTTGTTGAAAGATGAATGATACACATGTATCCAATGTGTAAATTTTACAATAACACTAATAAATTCTCACCACTGTTAGTTAAGTTAGTTAACGATAATGGCGCAGCTTTATTTATTATTATACAATTAGGTTCGGGATTTAGGAATTTGGCACTTTTATACCTGTAAATGTTGAAAACAAACGGTAATAGAATTGCTTTCACGCCAAAGGAGGATGTTTCTTCATTACAATTTATGTTCACATAAAACACATAGAGATATTTTTATTTCAAAATGTTGAAAAGACACATCTTACAAACTGTCATAAATATACACTTATATTGTATCTTAACTTATGAAATTATATATGCCTATAACATGCAACATATATATTTTTTCCTTAAAATAATACATTATCAAGTTTAAAACTTCTTTCTTTTCAACTCATTAAAGCATTGTTTACAAATAGTATATTCATACATTTATTTTTGTTGTTGTTATTACTTACTGCTTGATTTTATTTTAAGTAATTGAAATTGTATTATATTAGTTTATTTTTATTTGTAATAACGAGGTACTGAAAGTTTGTACACATTAATTTGAAACACACTCATTATTTTTCTCCGATAAAATTAACTGTTACAAAATAATCAAGATGAAGTATAAAGAGTAACGAAAATATTTAAATGAAGCAAACGGTCTAAAAAAACCCTAAGATGAAAGTACAATCAAACTGAAAAAAAGGGAAACTGACTGAGTTAAGGAATAAAACAGCGATAATGTTATTAAAAGATTTAATTCGTTCTGCAAACAGGTTAAAACTATAAATACATGTAAAATGCTTGTGTCAATATGAAAATTGTTGCATGTATTTTATTTAAACAATTCAATTCAATATTTTATTGAGCATATGAACATATTTTATGTAAGTCGGTGACATTTATGACAATGAGAATAGCATGAGTATGCTATTTTAATGAACTATAGAAATAAATAACAATATTCACATACACATGTATATAACCAATGACAGCATTAATATTGAAATAGAACCTATGAAATAAACCTAATCATATCAAAACAAATGATTGATACAAAGTATAAACACAAGTATAAAACAAAAAGGAACAAGACATATTTATTGTATTCAACACTCTCTCGAGTGCTGTATTTACATTTTTGTAATCAAAATGTGAAACCAATCAAGGCAAATGTTAAGAATAAAAGCTAGGCTTTATCTTTTTAAGAGTGAGTTGAACTTTCCTTGACTTGTAACAATCAGAATAAAGTCTCGAGGGTATCCCTGTAGATCATTTATTATAGTAATCGGGCTAAATATTTGTTATTTATAGGTTTTAAATAAATCACTATGTTTACACATGATTTATTTATGTCTTTAACTGATAAAACAACCCTTTGAGTTCAATAAGTTGGGAATAAACGATGATGTATGATGAACATGGGTTAACTTGAAATAAGAAATAGTTCGTATTCCGATATGTCTTGTAAGGTCGAACTAGTTTATCTTAGAGCATGATTTTTGGGTTTCTGTAGTAAAAGAGAATAATTAGCAAACAAAAGAACCTCTTTATTTATCCAGTGGAGTAGCAGTAGTAACGTAATGGTTTGAAATAACGTTAAATAATAGGTACAATTAGGTTTCAGGAGATGAACTTCTAGCCAATTTAAGATGTCTTATGTAATTATCATTATACAAATCAACTTCTGGCACAACCTTATCACAACCTATGATAACCATCGAATGAATGGATAACCTAAAGTTTGTTAACATTTTTGCGTGCTGTGAATATCCATATGTAAAAACAAACAACAAAACGAACAACATACAAAAAAACAAAAACAAAACAACCAAAAAACAAAATTAAAAACATAAAAAACAACAAAACAAACAAACAACAAAAACCGAACTAACTTTTTTTGGTCCCAATAGGTAAAATATGTAAAAATTATAAGTTCTTGTAAGTTATTTATATAGTAACAATATACATTAGTCTTTTGATTTTTTGTTTCTTCTTTCCTTTATTTTCTTGATAATTACTTTCAATAAATAGTGCATTCAAATTAAAGTTTTCAATTTAAAATTATTATGTGGCTTATCGAAAGAAGGTTACTTGAACACGACTGGTTTACAGTTAGAGGATAATAAGTTATATCTAATGGAATAAACGGTAAAATATTTTATACAATTTATAAACGGTAAAATTAGGATATTTCCATATTTTTACATTTCTTATTTAATTGATCCGAAATCGTCTATTTTAAGACATGTGGGTAATGTAAGTAAACAGAATAAAATGTTCCGGAACAAAACATATATGCTGCTATTTTAATTGGAGTTTAAACCGTTCGGCATTGATTTTGTTGATGGGGGCAACTAAGGAAATTTAAAAACAGTTATTCTAAAACATTTCGTAATACGTACACTTTTGCGATTTTAACATGGAAATGGTCAAATTTTGAAGTCTTTCTTATCCCCGATTACTTTTTACCTTTGAAATAAAGCATTCATTATCTAAGAAGACAAATTTTAAGTCAATAATTCATAATCCAAGAAGACAAACTACAAATAACGTAAGGAAAACTAAGTGATAACATATAAATTATTATTTTTTATATCAAAAGATTAATGCGTTATAATGAATAACATCAATACAAAATATTTTGCGTTCACTCACAGATGTTTCATTAATTACATACAAATTAAGATTTGTATTAAAATATACACTGGTATAATAAAGTTGCATGAAGTATTTAAATGGAAATTTAATTTTTACATTTTTTTATATAACATTTACTTTTTCAACCACCAGATTAATACAGTTTCCATAAGAATAGCCAATTTCTTTAATTTAATGTTGTGCTACCAATGAAGAAAGATCAACTTTACCTGTACGTATACAATTATTATAGCGAAACTGTCTACCTATAGGCTTTCAGATAGTAGCTTGGATTCGCTGGTATTTCTTTACTTTTATTAATTCGTTTGTTATCAGTGAAATTTTTAAAGTTTAAGGACAGGATGGTATAAGATAAGAATAAACTCGGATTACACATTGTAAACATTGGGTCTTTCGCTTGCACTTTTTCACAATAATATGGAGACTAAATATAATTTTGTTTGATTGTATTAAGTAATTCAAAGGGGATTATTCTTCATAAGTGTGTTTGAAGACATTTTTATTAGAATAAAGTGTTTTAATGAATATAGTTATAAATATTATTTCTAACATTTATTTACCTGGTGGTGTAAGTGCAGTGGTTTTGAGTCGTAAATTAAGTGCAATGCAAACTAATAAATTTCGTTTACATGTTTGAAAAGTAAATAAGTGTCTCAATGACTTATCAAATTAGTTCGATAAGCGATTCAAGTATTTTGTGATAGATATATAAAATATAATATATTCGGATAACTTTTGGATTTGATACAGCACAATGTTTTCATCTTTGAGAAATTCTTGCTATTAAGCAATCAACTGCATGCCACGCAATATATATGCAATTAAGTTATGAAAGGGACAGTTCATATAGTAGTCTTGGGGAAGGAAAATGTTGGAAAGACAGGTTAGTTATTAATGAATTTAATTTATGATCTATGTTGACAAATGCTTTATTAACTTATAAATAATATATAAATCTAAATATTTTCAATTGTTGCTTTGCGTTTCTAAAAGTATCTTTTTATCAAAAGAATGTTGAAATATCCTCTTTGCAATTTGGTATAAAAAACAAAAGAAACGTTTAACAATTCACAGAAACATACTTAAATTACTGTGAATCCAAACAAAGCAACTTCACAAAGACATCTAAAAGAATTTCACTGCTTTGCGAATCTCCGCTATAATATAAAGGAAACACAATGCTACAAAATTCAACGGGTTTTCTGTTGAAATATGCATTTTGAATTTTTTCAGCTGATTTTGGTTTTATTTTTTTGTATCAGATGGGCTTTAAAAAAAACTTTTTATAATAAAACAAGCCGTCCGATCTACAGAAGCACTTTATATTGTAGTACCGGTGCTACAATGACAGAGAAACTGCATAAAATGATTGATTTAGGTTCTTCGGATATACATTTTCTCTCTAAAGATGTGCAAATAAGCCCGTAAAAACTAATTTCACAAGAACATTTCTATCTCAATAAACTGATATCGCTTTAAAAATCCTCTCCGCATATTTACAATATCTGACCATATTTAACTTCCCACTCCGGATATTGTCTGGTATCAGCTGTATTTTTATGACTCATTGCTTATTTATTTCTTACTATCGATAATACTTATATTCAGTCATTAAAGACTGACACTTCCTGATATGAGAATTAAATACTTCAAAATTTAAGTCACAGCCTTTAATTAAAAAGATAACCGTGTTTTTTTCCCGCTGTTTAGCATTAATAAGAAACGAGCTGTTGATTTATGACTATATTTCTGCAAATTTTCTTTAATTACAGTTATTGTTTACAAAGTGTATAACTTAATCTTATAATACTGCACATTTATAACGTCGTTTTTCATTGGATAACCGTGACGTTTATATAGTTTTATATACACCGCTTGTCAATTTATAAAGAAATTTCATTTTTGCTTAAAAGGAAGTTTGCTGTATTATCAATTCGTTATAACGAAGGTCATATGATCGTATTTAAACGATTGTTTGAAATATAACCCGAGCCGCTATATAAACAACCGTTTATATATGGCCATATAACCTGCCAAAAATCTTTATAACTAATGAAATATTCAAATCTTAATAACCTGCAATAAGCACTCAAAGGTCATCATGTCCTAAAGTTTACATAACAGATTTATAATATCAGTGAAATGAATTATACAGTTGTGCGCATCAGCAATAAAACTGTTCACATTAATTGTAACACATTTATAAATCAAAAATTAAAATATACCTTTCAAGTCGTCCATATCATAGGCTAAAGTAAAATGTTAAAGCATACAACAATTGTTCTTTATTAACAATGATATAAAACATATATTAAGTGCTATTTATTACACAGTTTTTTATCATGTTTTGTTACATAATTATTTTGTAACATAATTATACTTTTAAAGCAGCACGCTTCCAGATAAATGCTTATTTTCGTGAAACATTTGAAAATGTAATTAAAAGTATAACATTGTATAGTAACCAAAAGGAAGCAACTTACACATTATCAGTGGCACTTATATCCCAGGTTAATTACAAAAAGGGGTCAAAATATGCAAAAATTACCCTTACTGGGTTAGTAACGCAGTAGAAATATTGTTACGCATAATGACAAATTAACCATTAATTGCTAATAACATGTTAACTATTACGTGAATCTTGAATCTGTCTACTTTTCCAAAAAATCTGAGTACATTTTTCTCAAGTTTGAATTTATTAAAATATTTTTGCTGCTCTGGAAGAATGCTGCTTCAAGTATATTACGGAAAAATTACTGTTAATGACATCTTGTTTATTTTATGTAGAAATAATTAAGTATAATGTCACTTTATCCAAAACAAAAGAAGGGAGAATTGCTCTACGCGAACATTATTTTATTTTGCATGTATTATTTAAATATATTTCAAAGAGTAAAAAACCGTGTGCGTGGTGTAGTCACAAATGAGATTATACAGCTACCTGTTGTTCACGAGTGAAATATTATTACATTAAACATACAAAAGAAGCAACTTCTAAACGTTTTTTTTTTCTATTCATTTCATGCTTTTTTGATGGTACCAATGAGATTTTACTGAATTTTGCTTCGTGCTTTTGCTCTCCCTTATGACCCTTCCTGACGTCACTAAATCGTCATATGGCTTAACTTGTTAACACCAGAATTTGACATCCCCATACAATATTAAAACACAATACATCCAAATTTATGCTTATTGTCATGAAAATTTTGAAAGTATATTTAAAAGTCAAATATTGTTAAGTGAACAAGGAAACATATTTACTCATTGCAAACGGTACTTACTTTCAAACCACGTAAATTACTAAAAGGAATTCAAAATATACAAAAAAAAAACTCTTACGCAGTAGTCACGTAGTAGAAAGATGGAGATAAATATAACAAAATCAGTCATTAATCGCATATATATTTTAAACTATTACTTGAATCTTGAATCTTTTAACTTTTCTAACAATCTATAATCTAAGTTTGATTTTCTCTCGAAATACTGTGGTTCATCTAAAGGCATGCGGCTTAAGGCTTATATTGCATCTGAAATCGATCTTTCACTAAATTTAAAAAAAGAAATCTATGCATTATTAGCCTGCTGCGAATTTCCTTTTAAATTATGAAATTAATTTAGATTCTATTGAAATCATAAGCTGTTAGATCTACCCTTTTCATTATAATTTTAGCCTGAAGAGTTTTTTAAGGCTTCTTTGGCCCTTATTCAGAAACGATAATCTCAGTCTCAAAACTAATACACGTAAGGTCACCTCAAGTGACGCTGGAAGTAACTGACAGTGCGAAAAGAGGTATTCGTTTTGTTTACTCTACCCTATCTCTCGTAAGGGGGACTTCAAAAGTTGACCGCTTGGTTTGGCTGCTTAACAACAATCAATGTTCATTGCAAATGTGCAAGCAGGTCGTGTAAAAAAGAGTGTATTTCACAGAAATGAAAGCAAATTTGCTAAAAGAATTACTTGATAAAAATCTTAATGTAATTGAAAAAAACAAACAAAGAAAACCTGATTTTAAATCTACGCCCCATAAAACAGAAGCATTGCGAGAAATTGTAAAAGATTTAATAGTTTTCAAAGAATCAATTCCAGAACAGCAAAAACACTTAGAAAATGTTGTGAAAACCTGAAAGACTGAAAGCTATTGAATTTATGCTAACTTTATTTGAGAAATAGCATCCAATTTCAATGTCAAAGTGATAAAACAGAGGTGGTAGTGTGGTCAGGGCACATATATTCATATAGTCCTACTGACTCTTTCGACTTTATTATTATATAAAAAATCATAACATATACAGTATAAATTGATATCTTCTAAAACGATTGCCCATCGAAGGCCTATTGTGTATATAGTGAGTGAACAGGGGAAAGTCAAAATAAGTTAACGTTTTGTCATAATTCCTTTCAATTTTATAATTTACTTCGAGTGAACGATAAATAACTCGCATTGCCCAGGGACACTCCCATTAATATCAATCGGAATTTATCTATAACGTTCAATTTATAAAAAGAGTAGGACATTTTTTTAAATCTTGGATAGATTGATATCTTATTCTAAACATTTTTAATCACCTTTATAACTTTCAGTTTTTGTAATATAAAGTCAATTCAGCTAAATTTGACAATAAATAAATGAGCATTTCACTTTAAAATAAGAGAAAAATAAACCACATGCGTAGAATATGACTTACTATTCCGTGATAGTTCTTTTAGTTACAGAAACCTTTACCTGCATATAAGCAAAACAAAATCGTGTTAATTATGATATATAAACAGTTTTTTCCAGCCTGTCATTTTAAACATTAAAATATTTCATGATCTATGGCACGTAATCATATGTAACTGTTTCCTATGCTCTGGGAAAACTTCAGGTAATTATAAAATTCTTCAGTTGAACTTCATGATTAATAATTTAAATATCTGATTAGTGTTTGTGTGGTATCTCGGGTAACAGCAGGTGTTTTGTTTGAATAATTCCTAGAATATGTTTAATTCTTGTTATCTAGTTTACTTTCAATAATTTACCTTTATTACGTTTTAAGATCAGTGATCATGACTGCGTCTGTTTAAGATGTACAACTAATGGTTATTTATATCATGTTTTGACACGAGAGTGATCTTAACAAATTTGTTTTCCGATAAAGCGTATAAAGTTAAAAGCAAGCAAAAACAAATTTTAATTCTAAACATGCGTTTATCAATCTTTCATACATATTGCCAAAGTAAACTGTAGTGCTATCAATGTAATTAATTGTATGTTCAAAATATCATACTTATTTGTTTAGGACCATGTGGCGGCTTTCTAGCTTTACTGGTGGAGAATGACCTCAGGTGCCCTTCCGTTCATTATTTAAGCTGTGTATGAACCATCGACGTTCCGTAAGCTAGCTGAATAAACTTAAATATTTTGTTTTGGATAGCAATCAACTAACTAATAACAACAATCCTCTATGAATGAATAAAATATGATGTAAAATTATTTTCTAAAGTTGAATTATCATGCGATTTACTACTTGTTTAAAGGCCAATATTGCCTCAGTAATTGATTTTAATTCATACCTCAAAAGCATTTTATTTGTGGTCCTCTGTTATAACTTCCAACAAAAAGTTACTCATTGGGCAGTTATATAAAACTAACTTTTTCTTCTGTTGCTTTTTAGCAAAAAGTAAAGTTATAGTGATTTAGTATTTTGTATGTAATTCAAAATACTGTTTTGTTTACATTTTGCTACTTTTATGACAAATCATTGCACATTAGCGACATGCTCTAATTCCGTAATTTAAAGGTTATAAAATTAATATCTGCCATTTCTACGAAGGAAATATTCATTTGTTTCTGAGGTATAATGTGCCTTAAGGCACTAACAAAATAAAATGTGAAAAAAGGGGGAAATACATGTTTTCTTAAAAAATAACTCTTCCAAATAACTTTTCTAAATAAAACACTATTTCGATATCATTAGATTTAAAGTGACGAAAAAAGTAAATAAATAAATATAAAAATAAGCATTTACATTCACATGAATGACAAAAAAGAGGCGCCACCTCGTGTATTATTGAAGCACGAGCGGACACCGACCTTTTGTTTAACACAGCTTGCCAAAGTTAACTGAAGTGCTATTAATGTAATTAATCATATGTTCAAACTACCATACTTTCATGTTTCCGTTTTGTGTAACAATCAAAGATTAAAAAATCACCAGTCAGACTTTGAGTATTGTACACATAATTCATTACACTGAAAAATGTTTTACTTTTATTGATGCTTATTTCAAATATCTTGAAAAAAGTGATCTATCGGAAGCATTAAAAACAGCAAAATTACATAATAATTGCAGACTGGATGTGATTGAGTCTTTCAAGTTTGACTGACACACCTTTATTCACTTATCTGATGGGGATTGGTTTTTAAAACTGCACTACTCACAAACATCACACACCAATTTCAAATTGCTTTTCCTCATCATATTCTATCAAAGTATTTCAGATTGAATGAAAAAAATTCTTTTGTTGTTGATGTTATAGGTTATTTTTCACAACAACTTCATAGAAATATACAGCTGATAATTTATGATGAAAGATGAAAACACCTCATTTGATAGAACATACTAAAAGTACAACGTCCGTCTCGTGAATTCCAGTTCAACAAGATCAACAAGGAAAGGCGGCGTTCAATGAACCCCCACGTGACCCAGCAACAAGGCAACGTTTACATTTCTAATTTACTTTTAAAATGTATTCACATTTTTACGTTGTTTTAAAAAACAACGTCCTGTTTTTGTTTGGGGTCCGCCTGGGATCCTTGCCACTGGTTCTTGTTGCTGGGTCATATGTGGGTTGCGTTCATTGAACGCCGCCTTTCCTTGTTGATCTTGTTTATCATATTTTAAATCATAAACATACCAATATTCAATACTGTTTGAATTGTTCTTTTGTTTTGTTATTTTCAGCGGTAGCTGTCCGATATTTAACCGGAAGATATTTGACGGAATACGCACATGCACCGGAAATGACGTACGAAAGAAATGTCAATGTCGATGGGAAGCATGTTCCACTTAAAATCACAGACATTTCTAGAAAAGTAAGACATATCTTTCGTTTTTGTCATCTTTAGAATCATTAAAACAAAATTCTATGTGAATTATTCATCTTGATTTTGTTCAGTTTAATATTGTTCAGTTATATATCATCAAAAATGCAAAATTGGATCTGATATGAAAGCTTCTTTGTTTGTTTATAACTGATACATAAAACAGTTATCAGGTGAAAGAGTGCAGTCTTCATAGTTATAAGCATATTTCAACGTCATATTTACCAGACAAAACACACATGCCAGACCCAAGAAATCTGTGATATCGTTTGCAATAAAGGAACGCTCATAACAAAGTAAAATATATAAATATTTATATAAAAATGGCAAGGTACAGATAAACAACTAAGTGCATCTCTTAAGTGTAATTTGTTATATCAAATACCAGGAATTCAATAAAACTACGCCACAAACGTATTAGATATTGATATAGATCAATTTGGTCAAATATGTCAGTTCTGTTTGTTTATTAAATATTTTCGTACTTCCTTTTTTTTTCAGCAAATTGAACAGAGATCTGGAAACAAAGAGTTCCTGAACAAAGTAGACGGTATACTTGTAGTATATGCAATAAATGACAGGCATAGTTTTGAATTTGCTGAGGGCATTTGTGAATGGATACGACGAGAAAAGAAACCTTCCGCACATGTGCCTGTTGTTTTGCTAGGGAACAAAGCAGACTTAAGTCATATCAGGTGAGGAATAAAGTAGCGCGACTATAAAAATGTTTTATAGATACTTATTCGTACTAACAAGTGTAAGTTTTTTTAATTGCACAGTACTGTTGGTTCCAGAAAGTTTATTCGTGCGTTTTGTGTGATATGCAGGATCTGATCTCATTTCAAAATTTTCTATTTTATTAACTTTGGCCTATTGTTTTCTCGTTTAGGACACATGTATTTTTATCTTTGGGGACCATATGCCGCTTTTCATGGAATGACACTAACGATTCACATTGAAGGTTCTATGATATCCGCCCTCTGAACACGTCTCCGGTCGATTCATAATTCCAAATTTCACCAATTTATATTAAATGTTGAAAACTGTTTCAGCCGGTGCTGGGGACGTGTTGGGCCTTCTTTAGGGTTTCTGTTATTCTCTATTTTATGGTGTTTTTTTGGCGAATTCAAACTCTTCTCTAATTCTATATAATGTGTTTTATAAATAGCTTGAGAAAATTAAAGCACCAAAAAGTTATAGCATAAAAAATCGAATGTTTTCAATCCTTTTCATAAATGTTTTTCACATCATTTACCAAACAATATAGAAAAAAAAACGGAATCTTTTAAGTACGCTGAAAACGGGAAAGTTTACGTTAAGTATTAGGTGTATTTTCTTTAGAAGAAATAGCGTGACTTTTACCAGCGTAGCCTTTCATATAAAACAATAATCCAATTCTGACCTTGAAGACATTTATCATCGGAATATACACTATAAAGAACAAAAATAAAAACTTATCAGTATTTAATAGATCTACCGCATGTTCAAAGACGGCACTCATATGTGCTTCACATAGTTGGTGATAAGTATTTATATATAGTTCTTGGTTAAATACTCAATAATACATACACTCTGATGATGTTGAATGGTAATATTTGTGTACTGCCTTCCTATTATACTTCTCCGATCTTTAATCCTGTTTTCATCCTTCTTTCAACACCCCTTAATAAAGATACTTAAACAATTACTATATACGATAGAATAAAAGACCTTACTTTTGCGTGATTCTGTGTGGGTTTTGATAACAGCTCAACACATTTTTCAAGAATCTAATCTCTTTTATCTTGGTTATCAATATATCAGCTAAAGTATGTCTTTGTAGTGTAATCATGATGACATATTCACGTGTAAGTTCCTTAGTTGATAAAGTTTTTGATGAGTTGCTTATTAAATACGCAGAACACTTGGTAAAAAATAAAGATTGCCTTTCAAAAGTAACAGGAGTTAAATTTTGGATGTCCAGTCACGTGACACATAATACTATCAATATACAGTTTCTCACAAGAATAAAGATATGTTTATCATGCGCATTCAGTAGGGAAATGGATGAATTATATGCGCAATATAAGGACCAACCAAACATTTCCTTATAAGTGACAGATCAATCGATGAATGTTGTACGCTGACTGAAACATCATAAATATAAAATCGTAAAATTAAAGCTTTCAATAATAATAAACAATACTTTTTTAACTGCAATTTTTCAATCAAAACATGAAAAGTGGGCATCAGTAAGGGGACGTTGTCTAAACAAAAACTAAAATCAACTCAGTACATAACTGTTTGTTACAATTCTGAATAAAATAGAAATTGGCTCAGACTGGTGTATTCCGTTACGATAAAAACATCAAAAGAGATTTTTTGTCTTTAACAGGTGTGTTAGTTGTCATAGAACGGAAGAATTGAAATGGAGGCATGATAACTACATGATAACTGAGTGCTCAGCTTCTACAGAAGTTGTAGAAATAAGCAATGTCTTTAATACACTTATCAATAGAGTAAGTATAAAGATAAAAGGTGGTAAGTTGTTTGGCAACCATTTAACATTCCCACGAAATTTATATTCCTTTTACATTGTTTAATTAACTTTAATAAGGCTTGTTGTAATAAATCAAACATGTTTAATTTCTATTTTAATAAAGCTAATTGTAATAAACCAAACATTCATTATTCATTTTTTAATATAGAAAGTTTTAATGAATCAAACATGTTTTTATTTATTTTAATAAAGCCAGTTTTAAGTTAAAAATCAAACAGTTCACATATGTGTGAGTTCTTACTCTTCTAATCATCATTCTCAATAAAGTAAGGTTAACTTTGAGTGTGATTTAATTGTAATTATCTGTTCTTGTGGTTGATTTATTTTCAGCAAACTATGTAATATGAATAAGTAAAACTTGCACCTTAACCGGTTTTTGTTCAGGGTGGTGAATATCTATAACATTCTTTTACTGGGTTATGATATAGAATTTCATACAAAGGTGTTGTATTGTGCTAAAAATACATTTATCGTCTTTACAGATCTTAGAAAGACGAGAATCCTCACTGAGATCACCAAGACGTCTTTCCCAGAATCCATTAGGTTCACCAAAAGTAATTCGTGCATCAATAAAACGACGGTTTAGTGTCTTTACCAGAGAACGAACTTCAACTATGTAAATGTGATATACTTGTTATTTGTGTACTTGGATCTTTCTATCTTTATTTCGGTGTAGACATTATTATGCACACCAGTATAAGGAACACAAACAGTTATATGATAAAGAATTCGAGAAAAAGTACAGATTTCTTGTATGTAAATCTTTCAGTAATAAATCCTTAATTGATATACATATACAGATTAATGAGCCGCGCCATGTCAAAACCAGCATAGTGCGTTTGCGACCAGCATATATAAAGACCAGTCTTCGCATATGCGCAGTGTAATCAGGATCCATGAGGTTCGCTATCCGTTTATCTACTTGTAATAGGGGTTGTAATCGAACAGCGTGGATCCTGATCAGACTGCGCGGATGCGTAGGCTAGTTTGGATCCATGCTGGTCGCAAACGCACTATGCTGGTTTTGTCATGGCGCGACTCATTTGTCTTCTGAGATTCTGATTCTCACGCATTGTTTCACAATACTTTGGAGATATCCGTTTATATTTTACACATTTATTGAATAAATTTGTAAAAATTTTATGAACTGTTATCATTTTATTAACATCATGAACATAATCATTATATACGAGAATACAAAGTCTGCCATTACAATGTTAATACAACTTGTTCATGTATGGAACGTGTTCCGGTATTCTATTTTGCTTTTTTATAGTTGAGTGGTTCTAGTATTCCTTGCTTGAATATGTATAAATCACCATAAGGAAATGTTGCTATGTCGGTTCATGACATCTGTTCTCCTTTCAAAATTCTATTTTATTCACTTGTGGCGATTGTTTTCTTGTTTAATTTATTTTGGGGACAGTACGCCGCTTTTCATGTAATGGTACTAACGTGTCACATTGAATGTTCCATTGTAACTACCGTATGAACACATCTGCGGATGTTTCTAAATTTATTTAATCCATTAAATGTTAAATGTTGCATTCAGCTTACGTCGGTGCTTAGGGGCGTGAATGGTAGCTTGCACTTTCCAGCAATGTCAATGAACAGGCTCAATCAAACCAAACCTGTAAGATTTCAATTACCGTTTTGGACGTTCTTGATGATTATGTATTTCTCTATTTTCATTCAGTATTTTAATGTATTCATTATCTCTGATAAAAAAAAGATAAAAACCTTAAAGCATACGTTGATAAAATAATTCGAGTGCCCTTTTTAAATGTGTTTTATCTTAAAAATTAATGTGATAGCACGTTTTTTTTCTAACTGATTAATTAAGCGTTTGTCTGTACAAAAGGACTTTTCACAAAAAATTATAAAATAGAGAAATGTTGCCTATGATAACGTTTTTTTTTTTTTTTAAATTGTTTTTATTGATATTTCAGGATATAAACAGGATATTTAAGTGTTAAAGGTTATAAATTTATTAAACAGGATATTGAAGTTTTAAACGTTATAAAATGTTAAAAACAGGATATTGAAGTTTTAAAGTTTATGAAATATTACAAACAATGTGATGGTACACAAGTAACTTTCATATGTATAATTTGTTTACCGCGTAAATAATTGCTAAAAACAGTTTTTATTTAAGGTAGAACGCGTCACTTTGCGAACTTTCGAGTAGCGTCTTGAAAATTGGCATGCAGAAAGTTGACCATATTTCCGATTTGATTCCGTTAATTTTATTTCAATAGTTTCAGCCAATTTTTGTACACACGACGTCAAAGTTGACCATTTAAGCCCGTTTTTTGAACATGACGTCGTTGCGTAACCTTGGCAACTGTTACGGGTATTTCAAAGCTATTGTCGGACAAAATATCTTAAATTCTACAGCATTCGACGGAAATTATTTTTTCCTTTAAGCTGATATAAAATTTATTGTTTTTACGCCGAAAAAATGTTTGAGAAATGGAAAGAAAACTGTCAATTTTGTGTAAAATTTGACGTTCAGTTTAGCCGAAATTTTCGACTTTAAAGCGGCTTATTAAAAAATTCCTGAAATAAATTTTTGATTTTTTTTAAACGTCCTTTAAAATGTCAAAATAACTAATAAAATGAGGGGGTCACCGACTCAAATTTTTCGGTACACGTGATTTTATTTCCCCACCCCGTGAGTAATTTTGTAACGAAATTCGACGTATGCAGATACGTTTGAGAGTTCAAAGTGCGTTAATAATGTTCAACTTATCAGGAGAATTGTTCTAGAATTTTACTAATACATATAAAACAACAATGTTCCATTGCAAATTCTTATAATTCAAAATGAGACCTTACGATGAAAAAGCATATTTATATTTAAAATCTTAGCCTGGGATCATGGGGATTTAGGCGTTGATATTTTGCTTATTCGCTTAAAATTTAGGCGTTGATATTTTGCTTATTCGCTTAAAATATGCGTCATTTCCTACGAGCACGTCACAATTTCTGATTGATATATACTCGATTTTTTTAACAGAAAGCAAAGACTGGAACCAAAGCTAGTAAAGTCTAAATAGAGGAATATCTATATAACGTGTTACTTGAGCAAAAAGGAACTGCCAGCAGTTTACGTAACTTGCAAGATATGTAACAAAAATCGTCTAATTTACTATCATGGGCTTGGTCGAAGTGCAATATTATCGCATTTCCATTTTGTGACGTTTATGTTTGCTGAAAAAAAAAATGTACGAAAAACAAACGATTTTTTTTCTTGTTTTTAAGCATGATTAATAACTTCATAAGGAATCGTGAACAGACGCATGTAAAGAAAATAACGTCAGGCGTTCAACGGCAACACATACGCTGTGCAAACAAATACAGCTGAGAGTTATCATTGCAGTGTAACTTTTTGATATTTTAATACAATAAGATTAATCAAAATAAAACTAATTAATACAACATGACATTAACTGATAATAATAACAGCTCCTTCCATAGGCCAAAATAAAAAGCATTCCATAAAGACGACGCCGCTCACCGGCGTCGCCAATAAACTTGAATCGAGAAATATGCCATAAGGAACAAAAAGCAACAATATATTTTATGTAAATTTAGAAATTTACGGAAATTCAATCATAAATTAATACGTAGTCTACCAGAAATTCTGAAAATCTATACATTTTGCATTACCCACACTATGAGTGATATACTGTGAGTGATATGTATTTCATTTCACCTATTAAAAACCAGAATTTGAATTTCACTTGTTATCAAAAACTATTGCAACAATTTGACAGAAATATTGACAAATTATAATATACGGTTCATAAATGAAAATTGGGTGAAGCAACAGTCATGTTTGAAACGTGTTGGATTACAGATGTAGCACCTTCGATTCTACTAGTAAATAAACATCTTTAATACAAATTCTCTCGTTTTGGTTATCATTTTAGAACATCATAATGTTAAAAATAACGATTAATTGAGGATTCACCATAAACGCTGTATTAAACACATTACTATCATTTGAATCGGCCTTTGCAAATATTCATTATTCACTGTATAGCTAAATTTATGGTAGAATTTATTTTGAACAGGAAAATTTAGAAACAGTACAATAATGAAACGCTGTAAATACACGTCTGCGGATGTTTAGAACATATACACGAACCGGCGGTCCTGAGCTAGATACTGCACAAAGGAGTGCTGCGTTGTAAATCTTTATACAAACTAAAGATATTTAAATATATATTGTCATTTTTTGCCTGTACATGCTACGGACACTGTCGAGGATCTGTCGATGTTTTATATGTTCTGTTTACCGACCATTTAATCAGTATGCAACTGACATGTTAATAAAACCGGGAAATATTACATTTTACTCAAAGTTTTATTATTTAATGTTATTCTGACAAATGTCAGATCAGATTATTATTTTTTTCCTCTTGTAGAAAGTGGGTAATTCTGAAGTTTTAATTCTGATCTTTATTCTCTGTTTTATATTCAAAATCTGTATTTACAAGAATAAAAAATCATATTTTGGTAATATCTGACCGTGTAATTAAAAAAGAATTCGTATTTAAGTATATACGCACTTCATTCAAAGTTCTCGCATATTACGAGTGTACGGATCACGGTATATTAGTCATATACGTATTGCATTATAAACGGTCCCGTACATCTAAGTATTCAGATTTCACTTATTGTTACCTGTCTATCTATAATATACGGAATTCCGTACCCTTTATTGTATCAATATATTTTCTGCAGTGGTCATAATGGCGTAAAATGCCGTCAATAGCGGGATTTCGACACAGGTCGATCGTTTTAATAACATCAAAATATCAAACGCCCCGTGATAGCGTGACTTTTATCCAAAGGGGTGGGGGAAATAAAGTCACGTGTACCGGAGAAATTGAGTCGGTGACCCCCACATTTTTTAGTAATTTTGACTAAGTATACATTTTAAAGGACGTTTAAAGAAAAAAACTCAAAAATTTATTTCATGGATTTTTTAATAAGCCGGTTTTAAGTCGAAAAATGCGGCTAAACTTAACGTCAAATTTTACACAAAATTTACAGTATTCTTTCCATTTCTCAAACATTTTTCGGCGTAAAACGATAAATTTTATATCAGCTTAAAGGAAAAAATAATTTCCGTCGAATGCTTTAGAATTTTAGATATTTTGTCCGCCAATGACGTTGAAATACCCATAACAGTTGCCAAGGATACGCAACGACGTCATGTTCAAAAACGGGCTTTGATGGTCAACTTTGACGTAACAAAGAGTTCCTGAACAAAGTAGACGGTATACTTGTAGTATATGCAATTAATGACAGGCATAGTTTTGAATTTGCTGAGGGTATTTGTGAATGGATACGACGAGAAAAGAAACCTTCCGCACATGTGCCTGTTGTTTTTCTAGGGAACAAAGCAGACTTAAGTCATATCAGGTGAGGATAAAGTAGCGCGACGATAAAAACTATTTTATAGTTACTTGTTCGTACTGATAAGTATAGTTTTTTTTAATTGCACAGTACTGTTGGTTCCAGAAAGTTTATTGGTGTGTTTTGTGTGATATGCAGGATCTGATCCCATTTCAAAATTCCATTTTATTAACTTTCGCCAATTGTTTTCTCGTTTAAGGCACACGCATTTTTATACTTTGGGACCTCATTCCGCTTTTATGGAATGACACTAACGAGTCATATTGAATTGTCCATGATATCCGCCCTCTGAGCACGTCTCCGGTCGATTCAAAATTCCAATTTTCACCAATTTATATTAAATGTTGAAATCTGCCTAAGCCGGTGCTGGGGGCGTGTTGGGCCTTCTTTAGGAATTCTGTTTCTCTCTATTTTTATAATATTATTTTTTGCAAACCCAAACTCTTCTCTTATTCCATAAAATGTGTTTTATTATATAGCTTGTAAAAGTTAAAGCACCAAACAATTAAAGCATCAAAATCGAATGTTTTCAATCCTTTTCAAATTTTTTTCATATTACCATTTATTTCATTTTCCAAAAATATATAGAAAATATAGGGTGACTTTTATCAGTGTAGCCTTTCATAAAAACAAAAATCCAATTCTGACCTTAAAGACATTTATCATCGGAATATACATTATAAAGAACAAATCTGTATTTAAAAGATCTACCGCATGTTCAAAGACGGCGCTCATTTGTGTACATTCCATATGTGTTTCACATAGTTGGTGATAAGTATTTTTATATGTAGTTATTGGTTAAATATATACCCTCTTGTGAGATTGAATGGTAATATTTGTGTACTGCCTTCATGGAACGTAAATCGTAATTATATATTTTATCCTCCTTTCATCCTTTTTATTAAAGATACTTAAGCAATTACTATATATGATAGAATATAAGACCTTGCTATTGCGTGATTCTGTGTGGGTTTTGATAACAGCTCAACACATTTTTCAAGCATCTAATCTCTTTTATCTCGGTTATCAATATATCAGCTAAAGTATTTCTTTGTAGTGTTATCATGATGACATATTCACGTGTCAGTTCCTTAGTTGATAGAGTTCATGATAAGTTGCATCTTAAATACGCAGAAAACTAGCTAAAAAACAAGATTCTCTTAAAAAGCGTAACAAGAGTTACATTTAGGATGTCCAGTCACGTAACACATAATACTATCAATATACAGTTTCTCACAAGAATGAAGATAGGTTTATCATGTACATTAAGTAGGGAAATGGATGAATGATATGCGCAATTTAAGGACCAACCAAACATTTCATAAAAAAGTGACAGATCAATCGTTGAATGCTGTACACAGACTGATACATCATAAATATAAAATCGTAAAATTTAAGCTTTCAACCATAATAACCAAATACTTTTTTAACTGCAATTTTTCAATCAAAACATGAAAAGTGGGCATCAGTAAGGGGACGTTGTCTAAACAAAAACTAAAATCAACTCAGTACATAACTGTTTGTTACAATTCTGAATAAAATAGAAATTGGCCCAGAATTGTGTATTTCGTTATGATAAAAACTTCAAAAGATATTTTGTTTTTGTTTTTAACAGGTGTGTTAGTTGTCATAGAACAGAGGAATTGAAATGGAGGCATGATAACTACATGATAACTGAGTGCTCAGCGTCTACAGAAGTTGTAGAAATAAGCAAGGTCTTTAATACACTTATCAATAGAGTAAGTATAATGATAAATGTGGTAAGTTGTTTGGCAACCATTTAACATTCCCATGGAATTTATATGCCTTTTACATTGTTTAATTAACTTTAATAAGGCTTGTTGTAATAAATCAAACATGTTTAATTTCTATTTTAATAAAGCTAATTGTAATAAACCAAACATTCATTATTCATTTTTTAATATAGAAAGTTTTAATGAATCAAACATGTTTTTATTTATTTTTAATAAAGCCAGTTTTAAGTTAAAAATCAAACAGTTCACATATGTGTGAGTTCTTACTCTTCTAATCATCATTCTCAATAAAGTAAGGTTAACTTTGAGTGTGATTTAATTGTAATTATCTGTTCTTGTGGTTGATTTATTTTCAGCAAACTATGTAATATGAATAAGTAAAACTTGCACCTTAACCGGTTTTTGTTCAGGGTGGTGAATATCTATAACATTCTTTTACTGGGTTATGATATAGAATTTCATACAAAGGTATTGTATTGTGCTAAAATTACCTTTATCGTCTTTACAGATCCTAGAAAGACGGGAATCCACACTGAGATCACCAAGACGTCTTTCCCAGAATCCATTAGGTTCACCAAAAGTAATTCGTGCATCAATAAAACGACGGTTTAGTGTCTTTACCAGAGAACGAACTTCAACTATGTAAATGTGATATACTTGTTATTTGTGTACTTTGATCTTTCTATCTTTATTTCGGTGTAGACATTATTATGCACACCAGTATAAGGAACACAAACAGTTATATGATAAAGAATGCGAGAAAAAGTACAGATTTCTTGTATATAAATCTTTCAGTAATAAATGTTTAATTGACATACATATACAGATTAATGAGCCGCGCTATGTCAAAACCAGCATAGTGCGTTTTCGACCAGCATAGATCAAGACCAGTCTTCGCATATGCGCAGTGTAATCAGGATCCATGATGTTCGCTATCAGTTTATCTACTTGTAATAAGGGTTGTAAGCGAACATCATGGATCTTGGTCAGACTGCGCGGATGCGAAGGCTAGTTTGGACCCATGCTGGTCGCAAACGCACTTTGCTGGTTTTGTCATGGCGCGACTCATTTGTCTTCTGAGATTCTGATTCTCATATATTGTTTCACGATTCTGTGGAGCTATTCGTTTATATTTTACACATGTATTTAATAAATTTGTAATAATTTTATGAACTGTTATCATTTTATTAACATCATGAACATAATCATTATATACGAGAATACAAAGTCTGCCATTACAATGTTAATACAACTTGTTCATGTATGGAACGTGTTCCGGTATTCTATTTTGCTTTTTTATAGTTGAGTGGTTCTAGTATTCCTTGCTTGAATATGTATAAATCACCATAAGGAAATGTTGCTATGTCGGTTCATGACATCTGTTCCCCTTTCAAAATTATATTTCATTCAAGTTTGCCGATTGTCTTCTTGTTTAGGACACACACTTTTTTATTTTGGGGACAATACGCCGCTTTTCATGAAATGGCACTAACGTGTCACACTGAAAATTCCATGATAACCGCCGTTTGAAAACATCTGCGGATGTTTCTAAATTCATTTTGACCATTACATGTTAAATTTTGCATTCAGCTTACGACGGTGCAGGAGGGCGTGAACGGTAGCGTGCACTTTTCAGCATCTTCAATGAACAGGCTCAAACCAAGCCTGCAACATTTCAATATTACCGTTTTGGACGCTCTTAAGTGAGTATGTATTTCTCTATTTTCATTCAGTATTTTAATTTATTTATTGTCTCTGATAAAAAAATAATGACCTAAAAGCATATGTTGATAAAAGAATTCGAGTGGCCTTTTCAAATGTGTTTGTATCCTAAAAATTGATGTGATAGACTTTTTTCTAATTGATTAATATAGCTTTATATATAGTTTGTCTGTACAAATGTACTTTTCACAAAAAATTATAAAATAGAGAAATGTTGCCTATGATAACGTTTTTTTTTTTTTAAATTGTTTTTATTGATATTTCAGGATATAAAACAGGATATTTAAGTGTTAAAGGTTATAAATTTATTAAACAGGATATTAAAGTTTTAAAGGTTATAAAATGTTACAAACAGGATATTGAAATTAAAAAGTTTATGAAATATTACAAACAATGTGATGAGGCAGCTACTGGGTACAAAATACATCATTTTGAGTAACTTCCATATGTATAATTTGTTTACCGCGTAAATAATTGCTAAAAACAGTTTTTATTTAAGGTAGAACGCGTCACTTTGCGAACTTTCGAGTAGCGTCTTGAAAATTGGCATGCAGAAAGTTGACCATATTTCCGATTTGATTCCGTTAATTTTATTTCAATAGTTTCAGCCAATTTTTGTACACACGACGTCAAAGTTGACCATTTAAGCCCGTTTTTGAACATGACGTCGTTGCGTAACCTTGGCAACTGTTACGGGTATTTCAAAGCTATTGTCGGACAAAATATCTTAAATTCTACAGCATTCGACGGAAATTATTTTTTCCTTTAAGCTGATATAAAATTTATTGTTTTACGCCGAAAAATGTTTGAGAAATGGAAAGAAAACTGTCAATTTTGTGTAAAATTTGACGTTCAGTTTAGCCGAAATTTTCGACTTTAAAGCGGCTTATTAAAAAATTCCTGAAATAAATTTTTGATTTTTTTAAACGTCCTTTAAAATGTCAAAATAACTAATAAAATGAGGGGGTCACCGACTCAAATTTTTCGGTACACGTGATTTTATTTCCCCACCCCGTGAGTAATTTTGTAACGAAATTCGACGTATGCAGATACGTTTGAGAGTTCAAAGTGCGTTAATAATGTTCAACTTATCAGGAGAATTGTTCTAGAATTTTACTAATACATATAAAACAACAATGTTCCATTGCAAATTCTTATAATTCAAAATGAGACCTTACGATGAAAAAGCATATTTATATTTAAAATCTTAGCCTGGGATCATGGGGATTTAGGCGTTGATATTTTGCTTATTCGCTTAAAATTTAGGCGTTGATATTTTGCTTATTCGCTTAAAATATGCGTCATTTCCTACGAGCACGTCACAATTTCTGATTGATATATACTCGATTTTTTTAACAGAAAGCAAAGACTGGAACCAAAGCTAGTAAAGTCTAAATAGAGGAATATCTATATAACGTGTTACTTGAGCAAAAAGGAACTGCCAGCAGTTTACGTAACTTGCAAGATATGTAACAAAAATCGTCTAATTTTACTATCATGGGCTTGGTCGAAGTGCAATATTATCGCATTTCCATTTTGTGACGTTTATGTTTGCTGAAAAAAAAAATGTACGAAAAACAAACGATTTTTTTTCTTGTTTTTAAGCATGATTAATAACTTCATAAGGAATCGTGAACAGACGCATGTAAAGAAAATAACGTCAGGCGTTTTCAACGGCAACACATACGCTGTGCAAACAAATACAGCTGAGAGTTATCATTGCAGTGTAACTTTTTGATATTTTAATACAATAAGATTAATCAAAATAAAACTAATTAATACAACATGACATTAACTGATAATAATAACAGCTCCTTCCATAGGCCAAAATAAAAAGCATTCCATAAAGACGACGCCGCTCACCGGCGTCGCCAATAAACTTGAATCGAGAAATATGCCATAAGGAACAAAAAGCAACAATATATTTTATGTAAATTTAGAAATTTACGGAAATTCAATCATAAATTAATACGTAGTCTACCAGAAATTCTGAAAATCTATACATTTTGCATTACCCACACTATGAGTGATATACTGTGAGTGATATGTATTTCATTTCACCTATTAAAAAACCAGAATTTGAATTTTCACTTGTTATCAAAAACTATTGCAACAATTTGACAGAAAATATTGAACAAATTATAATATACGGTTCATAAATGAAAATTGGTTGAAGCAACAGTTCATGTTTGAAACGTTGTTGGATTACAGATGTAGCACCTTCGATTCTACTAGTAAATAAACATCTTTAATACAAATTCTCTCGTTTTGGTTATCATTTTAGAACATCATAATGTTAAAAATAACGATTAATTGAGGATTCACCATAAACGCTGTATTAAACACATTACTATCATTTGAATCGGCCTTTGCAAATATTCATTATTCACTGTATAGCTAAATTTATGGTAGAATTTATTTTGAACAGGAAATTTAGAAACAGTACAATAATGAAACGCATGTAAATACACGTCTGCGGATGTTTAGAACATATACACGAACCGGCGGTCCTGAGCTAGATACTGCACAAAGGAGTGCTGCGTTGTAAATCTTTATACAAACTAAAGATATTTAAATATATATTGTCATTTTTTGCCTGTACATGCTACGGACACTGTCGAGGATCTTGTCGATGTTTTATATGTTCTGTTTACCGACCATTTAATCAGTATGCAACTGACATGTTAATAAAACCGGGGAAATATTACATTTTACTCAAAGTTTTATTATTTAATGTTATTCTGACAAATGTCAGATCAGATTATTATTTTTTTCCTCTTGTAGAAAGTGTGGGTAATTCTGAAGTTTTAATTCTGATCTTTATTCTCTGTTTTATATTCAAAAATCTGTATTTACAAGAATAAAAAATCATATTTTGGTAATATCTGACCGTGTAATTAAAAAAGAATTCGTATTTAAGTATATACGCACTTCATTCAAAGTTCTCGCATATTACGAGTGTACGGATCACGGTATATTAGTCATATACGTATTGCATTATAAACGGTCCCGTACATCTAAGTATTCAGATTTCACTTATTGTTACCTGTCTATCTATAATATACGGAATTCCGTACCCTTTATTGTATCAATATATTTTCTGCAGTGGTCATAATGGCGTAAAATGCCGTTTATAGCAGGATTTTGACACAGGTCGATCGTTTTAATAACATCAAAATATCAAACGCCCCGTGATAGCGTGACTTTTATCCAAAGGGGTGGGGGAAATAAAGTCACGTGTACCGGAAAAATTGAGTCGGTGACCCCCAATTTTTTTAGTTATTTTGACTAAGTATATATTTTAAAGGACGTTATAAGAAAAAAATCAAAAATTTATTTCAGGAATTTTTTAATAAGCCGGTTTTAAGCCGAAAAATGCGGCTAAACTGAACGTCAAATTTTACACAAAATTTACAGTATTCTTTCCATTTCTCAAACATTTTTCGGCGTAAAACAATAAATTTTATATCAGCTTAAAGGAAAATATAATTTCCGTCGAATATTTTAGAATTTTAGATATTTTGTCCGCCAATGACGTTGAAATACCCGTAACAGTTGCCAAGGATACACAACGACGTCATGTTCAAAAACGGGCTTTGATGGTCAACTTTGACGTCGTGTGTACAAAAATTGGCTGAAACTATTGAAATAAAATCAATGGAATCAAATCAGAAATGTGGTCAACTTTCTGCATTCCAATTTTCAAGACGCTACTCGAAAGTTCGCAAAGTGTCGCGTTCTACCTTAAATGAAATAAACACTTGAATTAAACAACGTTATAAACGCAAAAAAGGAAATAGATGTTGGTCAAAATATTACTTCGACTTGAATTATCAGAACATTTATTTTTGCTTACGTTGTCGACCAATTTAATGCTATAATGAACATGCTATGTGTGTAAAAGCTTTTAAAAATGATGTTGAAAAATTTAATTTGATTAAAAAAATTTGTAATACATTTTTAATTAAAAAAAATTATCCGCCCCCCGCACCAAAATCTATCTCTCCAAAAAATATGTGGGAAGCAAATATAAACACTTAATTTTTTTTTCGTCAAAATTGATACACGTTAAGTGAAGACATTATGTCACAATTTTGTGTTAGTGAACATTACTATTTTAGTAATATATAATTATTATATATCATTTATTCAAATAAAGACAACCTCATTTTGTTGCAAAAAAAGAAACGTTTTATTAGAAATAAAGATATGGCAATATGACAAAATCACACTTTATCAGTTGAAAAACAGACAATATCCAAATTTGATGATGATGCTGATCAAACACAACACTTTGATCGAAAAGCAATGAATTTCAAAAAAATAAATTAATATCAATTCATTCAAAAATTGAATAAATTATCAATTTCAACATTACACCAAATTTGAATCTTTAACAGCACCATAAATTTATTACATGTTATCGAGCTATACATGATATTACTGT